AAAAAAAAAAAAAAAAAAAAAAAAAAAAAAAAAAGGAACTGATTAATCGTTAGAAGTTTGAACACAATTTACCTCTCTGCATTACTTGCTTACTCAGTGCTATGAATCTGGAGCAGTAGAAAGTGGCCGCAAAGCGTGAATGTGAGCTGAAAATAACAGTAGAGCAACCCTAGGAGAGAGAAAGGGGAGATGAAAAGGTGTGGGGGTTTGTGGGGGTGCTGTGGCTTCAAGCAGCAGAAAAGCAAGAGAGAGAAAGGGAATATGGAGGCAACGGAAAGTTAATTAAAAATTTGGAGTGTTGTCTTTGTAGTCTACCATTGGTCTCCGTGATCCGACTTTGCCCTTCTTATCCGACATAATTTTCGAATTTGCTACTACTTATGCTTCGAATCTTATTTTAACTAATACAACTCTCGTGTATTACACGGGTGTTTGTTAATTTTTTTTTTTTAAATCTAAAATTAACGAGAAAAAATAGTTAAAAATTTAAATACCTTATATAAAAATATATATTATTATATATTTAGTATGACACTTTTTATTTGTGCGACTTACCTGTGTTATATTATAATAATTTTTTTAACTTACGACATATAACTACATTAAACATAAATATATCAATTGAGAAATAATTTTATTTTTCTAATGAATTTTAATAAATATAATTATTTTTTATTATTATAAATATAAACATAATTTATTTATTTCAATATATACAATATGGCTATCAAATCGAAGATCATCAAAATATGATTAATTTAATATATCATATATGTAAAACCGATAAGAAATACAAAAGTTATCAACTTTTAAAATACATTACAATTCAGTAGCTAATTGAAGGAAACAAATCAAAAGTCAGGGATATATTACTCACTTAGTGTCTCACTATGTAAAATTATAAGGAATTAAAGGGTTATATTAGTACAAGTGATATTAAAATACCTAAGTTAGCAAAATAATATTTGTGGAATGTCCAAACCTATATTATTAATTATTAATATATCAATATTATTTGTCTAAACCTAATTACGAAGCATGATTCTTCGCCAAGTAGGATTTCGAAGCGCCAGAAGCAGCCACGTAGGCTCAGCGCATTCAGGAATTATATATAGTGAGGATTAGGCTCGGGTGTCATGTAAAACTAGTGTACACCCCGTGCGATGCACAGGAACAATATTAAATTAACAATATTATAAATAAATCTCGAGTTTGAGACACTCAATGGCGGAAGTGAAAATTACTATTGATACTATTTAAAAAGAGGAAGAAAAAAATAATAATTATAAATTAAAGAGGAGAATAAACAATACTTAATAATTATAAATTAAAAATTCGGGGTCAAACAATGTAAAATTATTTTGTATAATAGAATATAAGATTTCTATTATTTTGTATAAGAGAATATAAAATTTGTATGTTTAATATTAAGACACTTAAAATATTATATTAGTATATGTAATAGTATTCAAATTTTTCTATATTATTTTTGAAAGATGTGAAATCACCTACAACTTTCTATATAATTTTAGAAGAAGAACATATCTAAAATCATTTGAATTTAACATTGTGTAAAAAAAAAAAAAATTCTAGACTATTTTGTAAATAAAACATGTCTACATATATTTAAATTTAACATCAATTATGTGTATGTTTATATGTATATATATATATATAGACGAATATGTAAAAAAAATGTCTAAACAATTTGTTTCAAGTATCTAAAATATTATAAGTCTAATTTAATAAAATCATACCGAATTGATGGTGTTCCATCTAAAAATATTTGATTACACACAATTTGAAAATTATTAGTTTTGATACAAAAAATAATTACAAATATTTATATTGATACCAAAAAAACAGGAAAGAGAATAACAAATTCTACCCAATAAATCAGTCGATTTGTTACCCTATCTATCCAATAAATACCAATAAATCAGTCGTTGACTACTCTATCTACCAAAAAAACAGGAAAGACAAAAACAGGAAAGACAATTGCTAAGTTTTAAGACAGTATTAATGAAAGACAATTTGGGGGTGATTATATAGACATATATTGGCTGGAATCCTTAAATATTTTTTTAATATATAGATAGATGTCAATAAGGCATGATTATCTCTATAATACATTAGCTACTTCATTTCATTGAAATAATAATTATTTGATTCCATATTATTATTCTGCAGTTGTCATATACTTTCCTTTTTATTTTATTTCTTTTCTACTACATATCTTTACTAAATCAATTGTTTATTTCTCAATTTTTCTCTCTAATATTCACTCATTTATAAGATAAAATAATATGACATTATTCTTTTAACAATGATATTTTTTAAAAATCTAATGATTATGCTGTTCAATCTAATAATAATAAATAATTAATTATCTAAATTCTAAAATCCCCCTCTATATTAATTCATAACATGCTGAGTCTAGTGGGATGTTCGGATGCTTCGGGATCTTATGTGGCAAAATTACTTACTTCTAATATTAGGCTTGGGTAGAGTTTAATTTACTTCCAATTCAAAAATAACTAGATACCGGATATCCATAAATTTGTTGGTTATTTATGGTCATATTATATGTATTAATTGCATTTTAACATTATTTCTTATTATAACCATTGAATTTTTTAAGTTAATAACTTTTGTATTTTTTATCAGTTTTACATATATAATATATCAAATTAATCATCTTTTGGTGAGCTTCGATTAACATCCATATTGTATATATAAAAAATAAATAATATTTATCTTTATAACAATAATAAAATTACTTTTTAATATTAATTAGAAAAATAAAATTATTAATCAATTAATATATCTATATATATAAAAAGAATTATCATTTTTTTTAAAATAGTAGGTCAAATTCTGGTCAAATCTTTATTAGCATTAATTGCATTCCACACTTAGTAACTTTTTTTTTTTTCAAAAAATCAGCATTAAATGCTACCCTAAAATTATGGTATTTGTTACTTATCTTTCAAAAAATCGTGCTACCATAATGAAACAATATTACATACCATAAATTTTTGGCTAACTAAAGTGTTTTGTTTGGAAACTATTATATTTTAATTAAAATTAATTACGGTTGATTTAATCTTGAAATGGTACAACAATTTTATTTTTTTAAATATGCACCCTAAATTTATATATTTTGTGGATTTAATTTAGGTAAATTTGGACTGATGCAAAAGTCAATTTTCTTTCTCTATTTTCATCACACAAAAACTGATTAAAATAAAATCAAGAATTTCGAATTAGGAAAAATACTTTCACATATATCTTTTACTAATTGCAACGAATCAATTATTTATTATAAAAATCGGATTGCATAATCGGAATGACAATTTTGTAAAAATCAAAATTCTTTCATTTTTTTATTAAAAAAATATGTTTACCATACAATCGAGAATTTCTGAATTAGACAAAACACTATAACATGTATCTTTACCTAATTGTAGCAGATCATGTTTATTAAAAAAAATCAGATTACATAAAAATCGGGCCAAATTTAAAATTAAAATTTAAAAATCTTTTATCATTTGATTACTACTTTCTTTAATTCGGACTTTTTTTAAACATAACACAAAGTCATATAATATTAATTTGAAATTCAAAATGAAATCGGATTGTAACATCCTAAAAATTTGGGTTTTGTTTAATTATCTAGAATACAAATTTGAAATTGATTGAATACACTTACAAAATAAATAATGATTTTATACACTTACAAAATATCGTATATATTCTGCTAAATAATTTAACCGATTTATTTAAGACTATCTACAATCTTAATATAATTTGTGGCGATAGACGATGTACCAAAAGACCAAACAAATAATTTTGTGTACAAAGATGTGTTTAATAATATATAACGTTACATTGTGTTTCATTTCAATATATGTATTTTACATTCTTCCAATCATCCAAATTTAACTGCTTACCTTAATAAAACTAGCTCGTGCATCGCACGGGTACCGCACTAGTTAGTTAAAAATATTTGTAACATTTGAGGGAGAGCTTTGCCGCCCTTGTGGTCCTACGTACCCAGCTCGATTCCGGAATAGTCGGTTCCCCTGTGGATTCAAAAACCGGAAGGTCCCTGTAAAAAAAAAAAAAAAAAAACATTTGTAACATTTTTAGGCGGTAAAATAAACTTTGGCAGGACTTTTGCGAATCTATTACTATATAATATAGAGAGAGATATATTTACTTGAAAAAGTATTAAAATATTCGCTTACAATTTTTAAAGTTACTATTCTAAGTATCTTTTTTTTTAAAAATGACGGTTGAATGAAACTTCGAATCCAAATTTTGTTTTTTAAAAAAATTATTATTTAAGAAAGATATTGTGTAAACGTTAATTCCCAAAAATATAAGCAATTATTTTCTTAAATGCCACCGATAAATCTGGCCAATAATAAGAGAGAATCTTGAACATCTTGCTTCCAAAAAATCCGATCAATCAATTTCTTAAGTTTTTTCGGTCAAACGTGTAAATTTGGTTACAAAAAATTTCTGTCACTCATCTATTACTATAAAATAGAGTTGAAAAAAATATACAATTTCAATAAGTTTTTTGTCGCTCAATTATTTCAAAAATTACCTTTTGAGGAAACTTTTTTTGAATTTATTTCACAAATCCCGCCTAAAGTTTTTGATTTGATTTTGAATAGGAAAAAACAAAATTCATATTATTATTACACACCTTTTTTAACACATTTTTTTAGGAATAGATTTGGTTAATTTCCCCTATTTTAACTCCTTCCTTATATGAAGAGATTTGGTTAGTTTTTTTGTGAAATTCATTT